AAAAATAAATTTAAAAAAAAAACACAACAAAAAAAAAAAACACAGACCGAAGCTCGACTTACAAATTTGAGAACAGTGAATGAAAAGGTAGGCAAAAAGGTAAAGGGGCCAGAATGACAGCCCCATCTTATATTCAGGAAGTATTAGGAAAGTTGTAGTCTTAGAGTTTATAGAATATATTATGGTGAGAAATTATGAACACAAATGGAAAAATTAGTCTGAAAACACAGAGTAGGCCACTTGATAGTATGGCATGTAATTATGTGGAATATGTGGAACTGAGAGTGTTAAAGAAGATTAATCAGCATAAAGTATCTATTACACCTGGAAGGGGGAAAAGGAGACGCTAAAAGAGATTGTGAGATTCCTAGCCTAGATATGCAATGCACAATGGGATGTCATTGATTGTAATATCAAAATCAGGAAAAGCAGCTAATTTAGAGCAAAGAGGTAGAAAGAAGTGATGCATTGCCTTGTAGACATGGTCACATGGTTTGTCTGTCAACAGGACAGGCATGGCTAGATATCCAGCAGACAACTGAAAACAGAAGACAAAAGCCTACCATGAGTCAGAAGTAGGTGTTCATAAGTGGTATTATGAGAGAAGTGCAGAGAGAAGAGCAAAGGGTCAAGAATGAAACCACACATTATCAGATGGACAGGACCCTCTAGTAGATCAGAAAATGAGCAATCAGAGGTGGAAGAGAGCTGGTGAGGAGGGCAGAGAAGGACAGTGAAACCAGAAAGGGGTGGGGCGAGAGAGGGAGGGAGACAGACAGAGCAAAAGAGAGCCAGAGAGAGAAAAAGCCAAGGAGAGAGAGACAGAGAGATAAAAAGAGGGCATGTTACAGGGAAGAAGAAGAAAAAGAGAGGGAGAACTTATTTAAAAATGGGTAGTTCAGAATCCAAAATGGGGATCAGTCAGTAGAATTTCAAGGTTCTTTAAAATCCAGCTTTAGAATGAAACAAAATAAAATAAAAATCACTGTGATGTTTAAACAGCATATTCATGCATGTGCGCGCTCTCTCTCTCTCTGTATGCCTTTCTCTGTGTGTGTCTTTGCCATCAAATCAGAATTAACTCATAGTTGATCCTCCAGAAGGCTTTTGGAGGCTGTAAATCTCACAAAAGACTTCCCGCCTTCCCTCTCTGGAGCTGCTGCTGGATCCAGCCTCCTGCATTTGGGCTGGCCGCACAAATCCCTACTGCTAAGTCACTGGTGCTTCCTTGTCAATACATTAGCAGAGCAAATTAAAACCCCCTTTGCCGTTTTTGGATCCTTAGAGAATTTTGCATCGCATTCTATAATCAAATAACCATGTAAATAACAAAAATAGTGACAAGACAGCTTTGCTGTGGTGTAATTCTTCCATCTATTTATGGAAGCTGAGAACTCTAGTCTAATGCTCAGTTACATAACTTGAATTTTGTCCAGTCTTAATTTTGAAATAATTTTTCCTAAAGCATGACAGATAAATCATCTAGCCCCTCCTTCTGTTCTGCAGTTTGATTTTGTTTTGTTTTGTTTTTAATCAATTATTCTGGCCTCTGGAGGGCACTTACCACAGATAAAGCAGGTTGTCTTTAGAATCTCTTCTTTTTTCTGTTTTTCACTTCTGAGATCAGCAAAAGTATCAATGATCACACCAAAAATCAAATTAAGAACAATAATGATCACAATAAAGAAGAAGAGAAGGTCATAAACCACTCTGGCAGCAAACAAGGGCTCCTGAAAAACAAGCAAAATATGATATTTTTATATAAATATGAGAAAGACAAGATAAAGATATATATGTATAATAAAATATGTGTGAAAGCATACACACTTTCAAAATATGCTGGTTTAGCACACTGTAAAACAGAAGATATATGTAATAAATTTTTACTAAATTAACGTGAAAATTTTTCCAAGTTGGAGAGAAAAGGTATACTTTTTTGTGTTTTTTTCCTTTTCTTTAGGGGTCATGAGAAAAATGTTCTCAACTAGTTCCCAGGAAGTCTTTCTTTTGATCTATGACTTGCACATGGCTCTTCTTGTGGACAAACGTACCTTTTATTACTGGCTACTTGACTATGCCATTCTGTTAAACGCATTGTGTTGAAGGGGTCTCTATTCAGAAGCCACATATATTTGAACATCAATTCCAAAGGCCAGCAATTGGAGAGCTAAGGGGAACCTAATCTGTCAATTTCTGAAGTAGGCTTCACGTCTGGCTTCATAGGATCAAGTACATATCTAAACATTCTCACTGCTGTCAAATCAGAACCAACTTACAGCTGACTCTCCAGTGGATTTCTGAAGCTGTAAAGCACAAGGAGCAAAATTTCCTGGTAGGGCCACTAGTAGAGCCATGGTCTTGGATTAGCAGGAAAATACCTACACACTATGTTACCAGGGCTCCCACAAATACATGCAAATAAACTCATTGCTTTGGAGTCAAAACCAATTCTTGGTTGACTGTCCAGTGAGTTTATAAGGTTACAAACAGCATAAAGGAATTTCCTTTTTTTCTCCACTGGTGAATTCAAACCACCAGCCAAGGGCTGCGTTTCCACCAGCAGTGCAGCTCTCTATGGTCTAGGCCACCCAGCTCAACCATACTTACACTGACAAGCAATATTAAAATACACACTTAGATGATTCATACTGATGAAGGGCCTGAAGTTATGAAATGTTAGGTGAGTTGACAAGATTATACAACTAGCCTGCTGTAGAACTGAGATTGTTAGAGCTCCTCACCTGATGCTGGAGATTTTTTATCTGGTGAGAAATACTTTTAGCCTTGCTGTTTTAATATATGAAATCCTATTAGAATTTGTTCAGATTTTATATTCATCATGGATAAATAATGGAAACTATTCCAATGCAGCTGCAAAGTGCAAATCTTCACGCTTGAGGAGCCTGACAGGCAGGCAGCAGCCTAGTTTCTGCTATTTACGTAACAACCTGCTCTATACAAACTGCAGTCATGACTTCCTTGCAGCAGCACAATGCACAGATCAAGCCTGGATAAAGCTCATAATTCCACTCAAATATATACATTCTTAGCATACTATCTATTTCTTAGTAATCCAAGTATACCATTAATTGATTTTAACGGCCATCATTGTACTTTTAGCATAATATCAGTTTAGAGACTAAAGTATGCCCATTTCACATAAGTATTTTCCGTTTGTTCCTATGCATCTAAAAGTTAGATTATGAAAAAGGAAGACTGAAGAAGAATCAACAACATAAGAAAAACAATCAGTGTAATTCACCATGTTCACAAAATAAATAATTAAGAATCATATGATCTTAGCAATTGATGCAGAAAAGGCATTTGAGAAAATCTAAAACTACTTCTTAACTAAGACACTCAGCAAAATTGGAATAGAAGGGAATTTCCTCAACATAGTGAAAAGTATATATGCAAAACCAAGAGAAAGTATCATTCTTAATGGAGAAAAGACTAAAAACATTTTCCTTGTGAACAGGGACCAGACAAGGATGCCCACTATCACCATTTCTATTCAATATTGTACTGGAAGAAATGACAAGAGAAGGAAATAAAAGGCATCCAGATTAGTAAAGAGATAGTTATAATATTGCTATATGCAGATGATATGATAGTGTACA